GGCGAAGGCATTTAGGCAGTAGCCCACATACATACACGGATACACACACACAGAGAAACATCTACATCCACAGATACACGTACATACACACACACACATGCGCCAGACATGCGCATGTTTCTATCTATCCATCTAGCTATCTGTTTACTATTTATCTATCTATCCATCTTTCGATCTATCTCTCTCTCTCTCTATCTATATATGTATTTACCTATCTTTCTTTCTTTCTGTCCATACACCTGTACATTTGCAAAACGGACCCGGGGAGTTGGCTTTTCCAGGAATTTACCCAAAACGGCATGTGCAGTCATGTATCCTGTACATATGTACATATCTACGCACGTACGTGCTCACATACACACACACACACACAAACAGGGTTGGACAACAAGCAACACCAAACATTAAGAAGGCACTCGCGGCAATTACCATGGACATAAGCACAATACTGGCTGCAATGCCAGTAGATGCCCTCATCGTGGAATAACTGAAAATGTGCGCACGTGTGTGTGTGTGTGTGTGGGCCTGTGTGTGTCTGTGCGTGCGTACGTATATAAGGCAACCCGACGAAGCACATTGACATGTCATCAACCATATGATTGGATGGACGGATGGATGGATCAAAGACTACATGGCTATATGGTTTACATGTGTGTGTGTGTACGTATTATATATATATATACAGACACACAAGGGTTATTTCACATGTATATAAATATGTGTAAGTGTTTGTATGTACGTATTTATGTATTGATGCACATTTTTTATGTATGCATGAATGTATGTACAGTATATGTATGTATGTATGTATGTATGTATGTATGTATGTACGTATGTACGTATCGACTTCGAGGCTTGCAATTTTGCCAGGTGGGGTTGGGGTTTGGTGTATTTAGGGAGGGTCGTGTCACTTGCACGAAAGGTTGCAAGTCTCAGCGTGCTCTCGGCCGTCATGGCCGCGACCCTGAGGCCATGTGGCCTCGGAAACCCCAAGGGTCCAATGGACCCAATAATCAGGTACTTAGGTTTCGGAAGGTAGTTATGTAGGTTACTAGTTGGGAGAGTATATGATTATTAGGTACTTGGACCCATGAAGAAATGCTTGAGCCGGCATGCAAGCAGCCAGAACATTCCATCGGGTAGTTGCATGGGCAGGTAGGCGGTGGATGCAACACATCTCTCACACGTAGCCGGTACCTCTGACAAGGCCGGATATCATTTCGAGCAGTACGGCAATCAAGACGTTCACTGCAGGAACTCAGCCCCGGCCTCAGAAAGAAGCCACTCTACGAGCATGGAGAAGAGTGCACGCGTGCCTGGAGATGATTTGGCCATCAACCCCGCGCCGTCAGGATTGACTAGTACCTGGTTCAACCTAAGCCCAAACGCCTAAACCCGAAGTCCCCGCGACATCAAGGTGGCTCGAGGGGCTGGGACTCCTCCGTGCCGTGCAAGGGGGCGAGGTGGAGCCAGACCTCATCGCAGCGGGCCCAGAGTTCCTTCGGAATTGAAAAAAATTCGACCTGGAGCCAGGGGGGGGGCGGGTCCTGGGACAGTGGCTGTTTTTGGTCGGTGGGAGGGATGATCATGTCATAGAGGTGGGCGATGGTGCAGGTGCTTGCAGGTTGCCTGCTGAAAAATGCCAAGGCTTTCAATTCCCTCATGACCAGCGCCTACAGAGGCTGCACCTTCATGCTTCACTGTGTCAGTGATAGGAAAGTCGAAGACATCCCAGCTTTTGTTTGTTAAAGGGCCCTAGCAATGCAGAGCCTGACGAGCCGCAATGCCAGAAAGCGTGCAGCACAAATTGCATCTTGCCGTCCCCGTCCGTCAACACATCATGGCTCAATCCACAGACTGGAGGAGATCTTGTTGTTGGTTTCACCGTTGCTGCTCGATGTTGCTGTGTGATTGTCGCCCAGATCCTTCATCATGGTGCACGTGCCCACCCCAGACCCCTTCGAACTTGACACAAGTTGGCAATCCACCATGCCAAGCAAGACTCAGCACACTTTCGCACAGCTGCCGCACAGACGACATACTCAAGCTTTAGTTGGGTTCCCGAGCTACCTCGTACCGGCGACACTGGAATTGTCTTTGTCGCGTCTCACCTCATTGTTTCTTCTCCTCCTCTCCTTGAGGATGTGACGTCGGTGTCTGCATAGAGCATAGAGCTTTGATCTTGGGAACATCACAACAGACCGAAAGTCAACTCAGATCAATCACAGCGCGACCAGTGTTGACCCCATTGTGCCCTGCGCCATCTCTCTGCAGACACCGGCAAGGGGGCCCTTCCAGACCATTCCATTCAACGTAAGGGTACGTGCTGCTTAGTCCGATTTGGTGAGATTTCAGCTGTTGCAAGACTGTGGGAGGGCCCCATTTGATTTCGGGACTATACCCAAAACGTATCGGCATCTAGGGAAGCTTCCAAGTAGGAGGAGGAAACGCGAGTTCGGTAGGTTGAAGCACTTGGTAGTGTAGTACGCAGGCTGGAGGGATCACAGTCTCCTCCTGCCATGCTCCAGAGTCCAAAAGCCTCATGTGCCCAAACACTTCGGACTTTTCACTGCTTTGGGGGGTAGGATAGTATCTGTCTCCCGCAAACAAGAAAGGGTTGCCAGGCCAAGAGCGGAAAGTGGAAGAAGAAAGGAGTTGCTTTCGGATATATATATATATATATATATATAATGTATCGTATACTATATATTATATACTACAGATATATGTATACACGTATCTCTATAGATTAGGTATTATTGGACTCTGAATCACGGAAGCTTGGCCTGGCAGCCTCTTGCAATCTTCCACCACGGCTGCGAGCCATGAAGCCCGAACCCGGGCACGACCAGATTCTTGGCTGCAATGTAGGGTTTAAGGTTTAGAGCTTAAGGTTTAGAGCTTAGGATTGGCTAGAATAACTCGCTTACTTGCACGTACGAACAGGACAACTGAAGGCATAAAGCTGGATCATGTCGGTACTAGGTAATGGGTCTGCGCCGCTGGCTCGACGACGACGACGACTGCTGCTACTGGTGCTGGTTCTACGCACCACCACCACCACCACCACCACAACCACCACCACGATTACTACTACTACTACTACTACTACTACTACTACTACTACGACTACTACTACCACGACTATTATTACGACGACGACGACGACGACTACCACTACTACCACCACTACCACTACCTCCACTATTACTACTAC